ACAACTTCTCAGGCCCCCATGTGCCCTGATGTTCCAATGTCTGGATAACATCGCTAAATGTAAGAAGGCCAGGGGCAAATTTGCTGGCAGGGAGATTATTACTAAAACATGTTCTCAGCCTTCACACCTGAGAGCGTTCTTATGCCTCCCTGAGCTAGAGACCCCAGCAGAGACTAAGAGATGGTACCGATGAGGGTGGCGGTGGGAGTGGGGAAGGGTTGAGGGATGGCTTAGGGAGAGAGTGGACTAGATGTGTTTATGGCTCATTTCTCCCCTGACTAAAGAGTGAGGCCATCTGGGTTTGGGTCTATATCTAAATAAATGTACCAGAACTGGAAAATTCCCAAGATGTTAAAACTTGAGGCCCAGTTGTGAGAGGTGAGAGTCGGCCATGGACAGGTCATTCCCTAGGCAGGAAACCTTCCCCAGGCGGCCCGGTCCTCCTCTCAAGAGAATGAAACTGCCCATGGGGACATTCATTTCTTTTCTCACTCTACTCCCCACCTTCCTTCCTTCTATATTTAATAAATGTCTGTAAAGTGCCTTCTCTGAAGTACCCTGGGGCTTTTGAAGTACATGTATGTACAATACTGACCCTACCTTTAAGATGCTTGGTTGCTTAGGAACTGGGAAATTTATAAAACAAACAGTGATTGCTGAGATTTCCTCTGTGATGGGTAATTTTGTGTGTCAACTTGGCTGGGCCACAGTGCCCAGATACGTGGCCAAACATTATTCTGGGTGTTTCTGTGAAGGTGTTTCTGGATGGGAGTACCATTTAAATGAGTGGACTCTGAGTAAAGCTGGTCGCCCTCTTCAGTGTGGCTAGACCTCATCCAATCAGTCGAAGGCCTGAGTAGAAGCAAAGATTGACCCCCTCTGAGGAAGAAGTAACTGCAATAGTCAGCCTTCAGAATTAGAGTAGCACTGGCTCTTCTCTTGGCCTCCAGCCTATCAGCCCACCTTGCAAATTTTGGACTTGCCAGCCTCCCTAATCAAGTGAGCCAATTCCTTAATATAAATCTCTTTAGATAGATAGATACATAAACAGACAAACATACACGTATGTGTTTTATTGGTTCCGTTTCTCTGGAGAAACTTAACTAATACACTATCCAGTGTCACCCTCTTGATTCATGACTATAGCATCTCTTGCCTGGACCCCCATGGCTTTCCTAATGTCAGTATCTCCTTTTCCATCTTCTCTGATGCCACCAGGGGTCTCACCCTAAAGCATGTTATGTTTACAGTCCTTTCTAATGCCTTGCCTTCCTTACCACTGTCTCCCAAACCTCAGGCATTCTAGCACCACCTTTGTGATTTTTGTTCTATCAGACTTTCCCTTGCTGAAATCAAAAAGAATGAAACAGAACTGAAAAAGAACTAATATCCTCACCATATTATTAAGTATCTGTCAATACGAAATCCACACCTTGAGTACCATAAGAGAAAGTATTCCATCCGACATTTGGGGGGAACACTGGTTTACAAAATAAAATCCATTCTTGGCATGGCCTGTAAGATCCTTCAGCACTAATAAGTATTTACTAAGTAGCAGCAATGTGCCAGTCATCCAACACTTATCCCAGCTACATGGAATAGTCAGTCCCCCAAAACACCATGCGTACCCTGGAATGCTTTTTTCTCTTTGCTTCCTGGAGAACCTATTCTTGGACCTTAAAATCTAGCTGTCTTTTTTTGTGACACTGTCCTTTGAGTGCTCCCTGGCACTTTACTCCAGCCCTTATTAGTATTTACTATCACCACACTGAAGATAGTGTGTTTGTCTTCCCAGCTAGAGGTCCAGGGTAAGGGAGCATGTCTTATTCATTGTGAGAAGTCTTAAAGGGGACCTCACAGTAAATATCACCTCTCTCCCCTGCCCAGCTTCTGCGCACATTGAGAAATAAAACAAGAAAGGAAACGGGGATCAAATTATTCACTTTTTTTTTTTTTTCCAGATGAAGGCTAAATGAGAACTTAGCTTTTGCATGAGACCAAATGATCCTGCTAAGTGAATCCAGAATTCAGCCGAGGACTGGACAGGCCTCCCCATGCAGGCTGGAAGAGCCCAGCCTGGAGTAGTGGCCCCGGGAAACCTGTTCGCTGCAGGCAGCTCTCTTCCAGGGGAGAGAGGGGCAGGCTTGGTTCTGCAGACCCAGTGTTTTCCTTCCCAAATTTGCCAATCAGGGTGCTTAGGGAAAACCCCTTTTCATCCAGCCATAATGGGTTTTACCCCTTAGAATTAAGCTCTCAGGTGGTATAGATGATAAAATTCCAGAAAACCAGAGGAATGATATCTCAGAGATTATTCTGACCAAGCCCTCTCAGTTTACATATAGGGAAATGGAGACCCAAGGAGAAGGTCAAGGTCATGTAATCCTCATCTGAGTGGTCTGTAACTTGAATTTGTAATTTGTGTGACAGATACGATTAATATTGTTAAAAACAAGACAACAGGCCCCAAATGGAATCACTTATGCTAAGTCTCATGTCATCAAAACGAGATTTAACTTAATTATAGTTTCAGCTCTCCCAGAAAGGGAATCTTAAACCAGTCAGAAATTACCTGATCAGCACTAGTTAGGTTATCTGCCTGATAAACCCATCATCTCCTAGAGGGAAAGTAATTCCTTGCAACAACCAATCTACTTTTTCATGTAGTTTAACTTGCTTGTTCCTGCTCATTTCTGCCTGTATAGCTTCCTGGAGAATCTATTTGTACAGCTTCTCTGAGCTGCTTTCTATAGGCTAGATTGGGTGCTCCCTGATTGACGAATCATTGAATAAAGCCAACAAGACATTTAAAATGTACTTGATTTTTTTTTTTTTAAAGCAATATTATGACACAAATCCCAAGGGCAAGAAAAAAGACAACTCTTGCCTCTCACCCCTTTTTCATAATGCTGTGGGAATTCCCAGGCCTGTCCTGGAATGCTCATTCCACTAGAACCCTGGGACCAGGGCTGAAAGGGTCTGTCCCCTGGGTTTCTGGGCTCTGGACTGTAATTGTGGATTCAGGAAACCGGTCCTTGGCTAACTCAACTCTCTCCACACAATTAAAAGATGGAGAAGGGAAATGTCCGGAGGAAACATGTATTTAATAAATTTTAAAGAGCTCTGATCATTTTTTGAATCCTCACTTTTTTTTCTGCCTTATTTCTTGGTCATTGTAAATTACTCCAAAAACGATTTTAGAGTAGAAAAGGAGCTGGAAGTCAGAGAAGCAGTCTTTAACATCTAATCTTCCTTTGGCACCATTCAGGATTTTAATTTTGAAGCATGGCAAGGAGGCATAAATGGCTTTGGGCCTCAGATGAGCAGAATCACTTTAAAATGAAGATAGATTTTTTTTTTTTTCTTGAGCTCTTCCCCTAAAACTACCTAAAGAATCAGACCTTCCCGTGCTGATTAGAACAGAAGGCATTTCTAATTCCTCATGAATGGGAACAAGAAAAAAAGTATTCCAAAGCAAGGATTTACTTGAATTCACCGCTAAATCCACCACATAAGCTCCTGGGAGAAAAAAAAAAAAAGTGCCGAAATTAACCTGATGTTTGGGAGATATCAGTTAAATGCTTTTGTAACTTCATCACCATCTACTCAGGGGAAAACACTGCTATTCAACCTCCTATTGCCTGAGAGTCTGGCGCTTCTAAACCAAGAAAGGAAGAAACCAAGCGGGTTATTTATGAGCTCCTTCCCTCCTGCAGTTTTAAGCCGCTGTGAAATAAGGCTGTTTGTTACCGCCAAGAGGCCAACGCTGGGCCAGTTAACCCGGCTCTGTGGGAGTCGGCGCTGCCTTCCTCTCGCGCCCCCCAGCGGATTCCTGTGGTGCTGCAACCCCGGCCACCCCTGCAGAAAAGCGGACCACCAGCAGACAGCGCCGCATGCTGCCGCGGTCCGCGCGCACAAACTAGGTGGTGCTCCTCGCTCGCCTTCTGCCGAGGCTCCAGAGTTCGAGACCTCAGCATACTATCAGACTGGGTTCCAATAGCAGCTACTCCAAACTGGGCGGTAAGCGCACGTATCTTTGGTGCTGTCCGCAGCGGTGCAACTTCCCCCGGAGCCAACTTTAGGCCAGTCTGTGGACTCGGTGTGGGTAGCTGGGTCCTGCTCGCAGGTGGATGGGAACGCCTGGGACTGATGGGACCATCGAGACACAAGTGAAAGTGGTAGGGTGCCTCGCGCTTCTTTTTCCTGAAGGCGCGCAGGGTGCCCCGAGAGGTTGTAAAGTGCTTGGGATCGAGATGCTGAGCCCTTGACTGTAGGGGGCTGAGACGCGCGTCAGGTTCCTGAACCTTAGAGGCTGCTGGGCTGGGGAGGCTTCCTGCGGGAGGTGTCTAGGCCTGGGAGGATCCCCACGGGAGGGGTATTGGGAACAGCTGTTGGGCGTCCTGGGGGATAGATATTGAGGCAAGAGTTCCTCCAGGAGGGGAAACTGGACTTGGGTTCCAAGCAGCTGCTGTGGAACTTCGGGGTTTGGGGGATGGCTGAGTGTCTTAGAAACAGGAGGTTGGAGGATGGTCCTGAGCTGGGGTTCCCCAGTCAAGGGCTGTTGGGGATCTCTGGAGGAAGTAACTGCAGTAAGGTTTATTAGGAAAGATGACTGGTTTGGGAGTCTCGCGGGAGGTGCTGTGCTGAGGGTCCTGGGGAAGCGGGCTAGCTAGTTTGGAGATCTAGGGGAGATTGCTGGTTTAGGACTCCCAGTCTCGGAAGAAAGTGGCTGATTATGACTCTCCTCTCTCCTTCAGTGGAAGCGACTGGGTATCTGATGGAACTGACTGCCCGGTAGATTTGCTCTCATTTCCAGAGGCTCAGAGGAGCTACCTAAAACGAGGGTTTCTCGGGTGGCGGCTGAGCAATCCCGGGGGCTGGCATTTGTGCCCCGAGTCCCAGATGACTTGGGGTTCCTAGGAAGGGGACACCTGCACCGCCTGTGTGTTGAGAGGGAAACGCGGAGATCTTTTCAAGTCCTTCGGGTTTCGTTCCAGGGTTGGACCCAGCAGATCATTCTGCGGAGTCTTGGGGAGTGGAACTCCAGCCGCCCCCTCCCCCCAGGCACGCCACGACGGTGCGTCGGGCCCCGCCCCGTCGCGCCAAGCCTTAAAGAGCACCCAGGCCAGGGGTGCACGGTAGTGGCCACCGTCATGGAGGGCGCGCTTTTGGCCAACTGGAGCGTGGAGGCGGTCAATGGGAGCGCGCCACCGCCGGTGGTCGAGGGCAACCTCACCGCCGGGCCTCCGCAGCGCAACGAGGCCCTGGCGCGCGTGGAGGTGGCGGTGCTGTCCCTCATTCTCTTCCTGGCACTGAGTGGCAACGCGTGCGTGCTGTTGGCACTGCGCATCACGCGCCACAAGCACTCGCGCCTCTTCTTCTTCATGAAGCACCTAAGCATCGCGGACCTGGTGGTGGCCGTGTTCCAGGTGTTGCCGCAACTGCTCTGGGACATCACCTTCCGCTTCTATGGTCCCGACCTGCTGTGCCGCCTGGTCAAGTATCTGCAGGTGGTGGGCATGTTCGCTTCCACCTATCTGCTGCTGCTCATGTCGCTCGACCGTTGCCTGGCCATCTGCCAGCCGCTGCGCGCCCTGAACCGCCGCGCTGACCGCCTGGCTGTACTTGCTACGTGGCTGGGCTGCCTAGTGGCTAGCGTGCCGCAGGTGCACATCTTCTCACTGCGCGAGGTGGCTGAGGGCGTCTTCGACTGCTGGGCGGTGTTTATTCAGCCGTGGGGCCCCAAGGCTTATGTTACGTGGATCACGCTCGTCGTCTACATTGTACCGGTCATCGTGCTTGCCGCCTGCTACGGCCTCATCTGCTTCAAGATCTGGCAAAACTTTCGGCTCAAGACCGCAGCGGCCGCGGTCGAGGGGCCCGAGGGCGCAGCGGCGAGCAGCGGGGAACGCGCTGCCCTAGCACGCGTCAGCAACGTCAAGCTCATCTCCAAGGCCAAGATCCGCACAGTCAAGATGACGTTCATCATCGTGCTGGCCTTCATTGTGTGCTGGACGCCATTCTTCTTCGTGCAGATGTGGAGCGTCTGGGACGCCGATGCACCCACGGAAGGTAGCACCGGCGGGAGATAGGGAAGAGCGCGGCGGGGCGGCGCCCTGGCCCTGCAGCTTCCTATTGTCCAGGGGTCTGGGGGCCTCTTGCGGGAAGAAGCGGGTTTTGGAATCCTGCAGAGCACAGTGCTTTCGGCTGCGCATAGGGTGTGCGATTCCTTATTACAGACGAGGAAACCGAGGTTCAAGTGACGACTCGCTTTTCCACTTGGTCAGCGAGTGTTGGAGGTAACTTCAGAACCCGGGCCCCAGCTCAAGGTCCTTCCACTATAAATTCACTTTATGTTAAACTTTCACTTTGAGTTCAAGTCAGCCTGAAACCACGGGGTCTGGTTTGGATAAGAGCAGCAGGAGATGGGCGATTCGATTCATCCAACAAAAGGTAGAGAAAGTACTGGGCAGGGCACCGTGGAGAGGTGAACTCTGGCTTGGTGGGGCTGTAGAGAGGCAAGTACCACAGCGGAGTGCCAGGCGGGCTTGGGGACAAGGGTAGGGGGTTGGGGGTTTGCTTCTGGTGAGGGTAGTGGGGGAAGGGAAGGGAGCTGGGATGCAAATTTTCCGATTTGTCCAGGTTTGAGTGATTTCTATAGGCGGGGAACTCAGGCTTCCGGTTGGAGGACTTGGGGGTGAGGGGAAAGTCAGGGTTGAGGGTGCCAGGGTCCATTGTCCAAGCTTGCCTGGTGTCTGGAACACTAGTAGGAGAGGAAGGAAAAGAATGGAGTGATTTGTGTGGAGGGAGCTTGGGAGAACAGAGTAGGATGGACCTGGAGACTTGGGGCTTGTAGCTGGTACTGGGTGGCTGGGAGCTCCAGGCAGTTGTGGCCTCATTGTCTACAATTTACAAATAGCAAGAGGGAGTAATCAGTGGTGGTGAATGACTTAAACCTTTTCGTTTGAGGGTAAGCACATAACACTACACTGGGATGCCAGGGACTCAAATGCTTGTAAGGAGAGACCAAGGGGTTCACTTTCACCCCATCTACCTTTGAGACAGTACACATTTTCGTGTTTCCAGATATAATCATGACTCTCCCAACAGTCTCAAATATAACCATCCTAAAGAAGCTGAAATCACCATTCAGCTGGATGACTTTGTGTTGCTCTATTCCCCAAACCACAGACTCCTGGCTCTTGCAGCCCTCCCAATTAGCCTAGAGTTTGTGTTAGTGGCTAGGGAAATTGTCATTCAATATTATTCATTAAGCACCTGTGGTATACTATGTGGGGCGAGGATTGCTGTGAGGACTCAGCAAAGCCAGCCTGGCTTCATCATGCAGCCTCTGGTCACACCTTACATAGGAGCTTCAAGGATCCAGAGAGAGAGGGGACAGCACAGCAAATCAGAGGTAGAGCATCAGCTACATCTGGGGTTTTCTGTCCCCCCCACCTCTATTTTTCCCTGCACCAGATTTCATCTGAGGGCCACAAGTAGGGAGTTGGGTTAGACAAAAGACAGAAGTAATGGCTTATAAGTAAGGCATCAGGCCACCCTTGTTTCCTTGACAGGCTCCAAAGAGACCAGACCCAGGTCTTGAAGAGCTCAAACACCAGGCCTTGAGTGAGACTGTTACTCCCTTAGAGCAGATACTGGGGAGACCTGGGATCTAGTCCTCCCTTCAGCCCTTACCAGCTGTGGGACTTTGGGCGAGGGGTCTCCTCTTCCCCTTGACCCTTAGTATCTCACTTTTAGGGTGAGGACATTTCAGCATTCTGTTCACTCATTCAGCAGGTATTCTGACTCTTCTCTCTTCGCAGCCCCCTGACCTCTCTCATTCATTTTTCTCCCTGGTGATTTTTCTCCCTTCTTCTTGCCCCACCCCCTCTTCATATGACTTTTTGTCCATCTCCTCATCTGCTTTCCTTTCTCACTTTCCTCCCTAAAGATCAAGAGTATATGGTCAACACACATGTCATAATCACTCAAAGAAGTGGAGATCTTTTCTACACTTCAAAAGAACATCAAGCAATTCATTTTTCTGTCTTAAAAATAAGACAAAAGGAAATGGAGAGAGTGCCACCAGAAAAAGTAGGGGCCAGAGGCTTTTGGGCGGACATATGGTCCCCTGGGCATTTCTTGGCGTGCGGCCCCTAGAACAGAGGGCTCCAGGAACGGGATAAAAAACGGACTCGTGGAATCTCAGGCCTTATTTCCTTTAGCTCTTTTTCTTTTTTCTAGTTCAGAGGAAAGGGTGGATATCATGTGAGAAACCAGGTCCTCCTCCCATTCTGTCCTGGGAGCTCTCAGAAGAGCACAAATGCAGACCACAGGGGATTCTGACTACGCTGCTGCTGGCACCCCCACTTCCCCACCCACAGCGTGTTGCCAGGAGCAGGTGCCCAGTCCATGTGAGAGGCCCATCAAGCACAAAGGACTTGGGCTCTGGCCACCAGCCTGGCCAAGGTGTGCAGGGTTCTGAGTCGACGTGAGCTCAGCTAGAAGGCACGTCCTGTGCCCACTTGACATTAATCTGGATACTTGCAAGTAGCAGGCCGGGCCATCAGAAATGATGGTGTTTACAATCACCTTGGAGTTATGACTCAGTCTAGAGGAGGCTATTAGCAAGTGTTAAGGAAAGAATAAAAGGGAGACACACTTGAGCTACTCAGGAGTTGTTGATCAACAAAGTGGAATTAATGCACAGCCCCCACTTTCCAAGAGGAAGAGAATTAACAGGAGATGTGAAATAGCTAGATCAGGGCCCCTTGCTCTGCTCATCTCCTGGAATGTAGATCCTGGAAGGTCAGGGAGTGTTATAAACAGTGTGATATTCTCCAGGGAAGCCGGGGGCAGACAGGCTCAGGCTGAGGCAGGAGTGGGGCAGAGACGGGATATCTTCCTCCCAGTTAGCTTTGTCATGAAAACCTCTGGAAGAACAGAACAAGGAGTTCCTTAACCACTGGCTAGCATAATTTCTCCGTCCACTCTGTTAGCCCCTGATCTGTAGCTCTCCCTTGTCCAACTTCTCTCCTTCAACCCCCTTCCCCTTCATTCACACCACACACTGCCTTTATGGGTTTAGAGCTCACCTTATTTCAAAAATAATTAGGTGGGGCACTAAGATTCAGGTGCTGCATCGAGATAAAGTAGATATAAGGAAACATAAATGAAAGGGAAAAAAGATGATGATGACGACGACGACAACGACAACAAAACAACAACGGCTCTGTGTGTGGAGGTGAGATACACATGGGACTTCCTTTTCATCAGATCCAAAGCAAAGAGGAAAACTCTCAACTTTAGTATTTGCATTGTTCAGAAGAAAAAACAATGAGAGGGAAAAAAAGGAAGAGAAGTATCGTGGTAATTTAATAAGATCTCCTTTCAGTCATGTGCTGTTGGAGCCCTGATTTGGTGAGACTGTAGAAAGGCTGAGACCAGACACCCATGCAGGTTTTGACAAGCCCCACATGTATCCTTCAGAGTCAGATTCCACAGTCAAAGGCTTGGCACCAACCTTTCCCCTTGAACTCAGTGAAATGGGCTTTGATGCTAGTTCCAAGAACTCTAGCCCTGGGCTAGTTCTAAGGGAGAAGGTAGAGAGGGGTGGGTTTGTATTTCCAGGGGTTGGTAGATGCTGGTTGGGTTTGGTGAAGTTGATTTTGAGTCTCTGTCTGTAGTTTTCCATTTCCTGTGTGTGCCTTGTGAAATGCTTAGTCCAGTGAGCAGAGATGAGAGAAAAGGTGGGCAAGTTGGCAGATGGTGTGCGTGCGGGTGGTGCCTGTGCGCACCAAGCAGTAAGTGTGGCTCCTGTCTAATCTCCATTATCAGGTGCCCAGAGCTAGAGGAGGAGCTTTCGAATTAAAAAACAAACAAACAAATCAAACAAACACACTTCATAGATGAGTCATATTTATCTTTCAGAGTAGTCCCCCTTTCTCTCAAACTCGCCGATTTCCACAGGAGCAAGCAAATGCCTAGAGAGCGTAGGGCGGGGACCTCCACTGCATAGGCCAAGGCAGCAGGAGGGAGCTGCAGAATTCTAGACCACATATGCAGGGATTCTGGCCGGTGTTTGGAGCCTGCCCCACCATTTTCTCCTGTGTGTCCTTGTGCAGGTTGTTTCACCTCTCTGACCCTCAGCTTCCTCCTGTGTATAAGGAAGATAGCAAAGCCTACTCATGGAGTTGTTACGAGGATGACATGGCAGTGGGGGCCACATGATCAGTGTCACTCTTCTCCCCTCCCCCCATTCTAAAGGTTAAAAGTCTTGTTTGCATTTTTGAAATTGTCTTCGAGATTTTGGCAGTTATTCCTGAGGGAGGAGATGGACATTTTTCTCTTGAGATCCTGGATACAGGGAGGTGGTGGGCGGGGGTG